TCTGAGGACACGTCAAGAAACTACAAAACGTCTGAAAACCATCAGAGCCCGTGTTCTACACAGAGGCCCGAATGTTGTCATCAGTCACGTGGGATGGAGAGGAGGGTGGGACAGAAAAATCTTCTGTAATTTTTCATGGTTCAGCCTGTGGCTTCTCCAGAGAAACAGAGCACAGGGAACAGGTGTTGGCCGCTTCCTCCTGGCATGGGTAGGAATCCTGCCCCACTGCCTTACTGCTTCCCACGGTGATGACCTTAGAGGGTGCAGCGTGTGCAGGCCAGGGCAGCTGAACCCCCCCCCCCAGCTGAACACGCTGAACCCGAGCCACGCCTGTGAGCGCCACGCCCGTGAGCACTCTCCAGCTTCTTTCCTACTCAGACATCTTAGTGTGGGAGCCAAACACAGGTTCAGCTTCTCCACCCCGACCATTGGGGTTCACATTCATTTGGGGATGATACTTCTTTTTCTTTAAAAAAAAAAAAATACAATTGTATTTACTCTTTGAGAATTTCATGCAATGTATTTTTATCATATTCACGCACAGGACACAGAGAGAAAGAGAAAGAGAGAGAGTTCCTCCTCCTAACTGTTCCCCGTTCCACCCCCTTCCGACTTCTTGCCCTCTGTTTTTTCAAGAACCACTGAGTCTAGTCTGCGCTGTTCACATAGTCATGGGTGTGGGGACATCCAGTGACGCATGACCAACCTGCCAGGGGCTACTATACTCTTAAAGAAAACTGACCCTCCCTCCCCCAGAAGCCACGAACCCAGAAACCATGTTCTCAGTTATGGGTGAGGGCTCAGGGACTCCTTCCCCCTCCATGTGAGAATGATGACGGGTTGGTGTTGTGCAGACAGCCATGGCTGCTGAGAGTTTATGAGTGCAGAGGTCACATCATGTCCAGAAGACACTGTTTGCTCTGGTCCTCCCCGATCTCTGGCTCTCACAGTCTTTCTCTCCTCTCTTCCGTGATGGTCCCTGAGCCTTGGAGGAGGGCTGTGTGACAGAGACGTCCCACTTGTGGCTGATCTTTCCACGGACACGCTCTTCACAAAGCCGCTCTACGTTCCTGTGCTAAGGGGTGGTGTTTTAAAAGTGGAGTTAAAATATGACATATTCACCAGGAAAGGAATATCCAGTATGAAAGTACTCCCAGCAACACCCAGCCCCACCCCTACTGTCAGGCCTGGACCCCACGCTCTAGGCAAGCAGCAGCAGGCCCAAGGAAACCCCGCTCACACAGAGTGAATGGCCGTGTTGACATCTCCATGGAAACATGGATTTGGGGAACACATAATGATTCCATCTTGCATATTCGTTAAAAAACTTTGTCAGACCTAATGTTGGTTCCTAATTTGCGATCTGTTGATTCAGACACATTCCTATAAAAACTGCCAGCACCCACAGCGTCAGTGACACGATCTTCAGGCTCCATGACCTGGCTCTGAGTTGGATTTCCACAGATCCTGTGCTGCTATAATGAACTGCACAGGAAGTGTTTGCATCTTGCCAGCCCCTGTGCATGCCAATCCAGCGGCCAACATTAATGACAGAGGAGAAAGCAACCATAGAATCCTTTCCTTTGCCACCTGGCTCCCCTCCGCCAGCTCGTGGTGCATACTAAACTTTCATTTGTATTGATTTGGGCTACCTTGGGGCTCTGGTCTAACAGTGTGAAAATCAGCAAAACAAAGCCCAGGCTGATTCCTTCTCACAAACGATTCTGTCTCCTCTGTGTTGTCCTACAAGTCAAATTTTGGTGGACACTGAGAGACGTGGCCAGTCACGTCGTTGTTACCATAAATGGAACACAAGACACCCTGTCCATGCCCCTCGGCCCTGAGTGGGATCTTTAGTTGGTCCTCCCCTTGGCTGGTTCCTCAGGAGTCAGTATCCTCAGCAGTTGGCAACAGAAGACTAATTATGTCACCGGAATTTAATACTTCTAAGAAATCTTGGGATCAGGCAGTTTCAGAGTAGGTTAATTCCACACCTCAAAAACATCAGGCCAGCTTTGCTGAAATCCAGATCCCTCCCACCTTGGCAAAACAGTAACAGTAACTGCCAGTTCCATACTCCGACCCAGCCACACATGGGAAAAAGGCCATTTCTCCACTCCCAAGCTTCTTTCTAGGGACCCTAGTAGACATGTCCTGCCTTGGAGGTCAGGGACAAGCCAAGGCCATGTTGTGCTGTGGCTCCCATTTGGGAGAGAGTGGCCACAGCTGTCTAAGATCCTAGACTAGACGGCATCCATCAACCGGGGGTAAGTGGGAGGCGAGAACACGATGATGCCGGAACTCAGAGACACCTGTGGAGAAGCACCTGCTCTGCACACCTGGACCAGCCCACAGCTCAGGTCTACATCTCAATCAAGGGAACGAAGCAATAGGAGCTACAGATCAATATGCTCTCTGTCCTCCTAAGGTGGCTGGAGGGGAATTAACAAAGAAAACAGAAAATGCAGCCGGGGTTTTCAGCATACACAGGACCCTGGACAAGGTGAAATCAGGTCCAGTCATTGCTCAGATTCCTTCTGTGTGTCCTAACCAATGCTCCCAAGATCACACAGACACATTCTCCAAAGCACCCCTCCTGCCAGGTCCCAAGAACATCACACACCCATTCCCATTGTCGGGTGATTGCTCAGGCTTGCACACTAGGACTCAGGCTTGCACACTTATTCTTGGGGTCCCTGTTGTGTCTGTGCACTAGCCAGGGTGTGAGCTTCCTGGCCCCTCTAGTCCCGCAGTGCTCGGGTCTACTCATGCACTAGCTGGTCACCAGTAACTACAGGACAGCCATACAATGTCAGCAAATACTCCAAAAAGGAAAGTAACCTTGTAACCCATTAACTATGTTACTGTATAAACTAAATAGCAAACCAAGTAAATCAAAAGAGTCAGTGTGGGATTTTTTTTTTTTTTTTAATCATGGTGGTCCCGCCAGGTATAGAATTCTCTGGAAAGCTGGTGTGTGTGTGTGTGTGTGTGTGTGTGTGTGTGTGTGTGTGTGTGTGTGTGTGTGTGTTTTCATAGACTTTATTTTTTTAAGCGCTGAATTTTATAGCAAATTGAGTGGGAAGTGTAAATTTCCCATATATTTTATGACCTACCCACACATAATTCATTGTTCAATTACTCATAATGTTTGAAAATATGGATAATTTTAAATATAACATACATTTTTCAAGTTTTTTTAAGTAAATAGAATGTTTCGGCTTCTGATCCATTCAGAATACACCTCAAGCCATTTAATTTCTACCAAGTTGGGATTTAATGTTACCTGTACTTAAACAATTATTAGGTAATAACAGAAATTCTGCTTCTCAAACAATAATTATATTATAGCTATGAATTCAAGTGATGGTTACAACTGCTTTTTTTTTTCATAGAATTGTTCAAATGACAGGTTTTGTACTTGAATGACTTGCCTTTTGTAAAATAGATTTTGCTATTCCATTATATGTGTTTGTGGTGATACAAAAAGCATATTTGTTTACACTTTGGTGTTTGTGTGATGTGTGGTATTTATATGTGTATGTTCATGGGAGGACACATGCATGCCACAGCATGTGGGTGGCGGTCTAAGGGACAGCCTCTGTGTGTCAGCCCTTTCCTTCTACTAGCAAAACACATTATATGCACATATGAAATTCTCAAAAAAAAAAAAAAACTCAACCTATCCCCATTCTACTCACATGAAAAACTAACAGAGATAAAATTCAAAAGGCAGTTTACAAAAGGTGACTATGCTACAATATTACAGATAGTAGCTACCCCATAATATTACAAATAGTAACACAGCTACAATATTACTATTAACAATAACTATGCTACAGTATTGCAAATAATAACTATGCTGCAGTATTACAAATAGTAACCACACTACAATATTACTTTCTCAAAAATATAAATGCACAGATGACTAGGGCAGAGGCTTACAGAGTACTCACCGGGCTGTGTACGCTAAGCTGTGGGAGGACTCCCATTTATGTTTGTATTTTCTCATTTTCCCTTTTGCAAGTACTAACTTCAAAGAGAACAACATATTTTAAGTTACATTTTATTATTCATAATTACAGGTATATATACATAATTACAGAATGTGTATTTATATATAATTTTCATAATAAGTTATATAAACGTATTTACTATTCATGCATAGCACATTTATGTAATAGAAAGATATCTCATATACATTTGTATTAGTCAAGGTTCTCGGGAGAAGAGCACCAATTGTGTGTGTGTGTGTGTGTGTATTGGTTTACATGGTTGGAGGCTCAGCATCCCAGTGGCAGCTGTCTACACACTGGAGACCCAGAAACCCCGGCAGTTACTCAAATGCTTCTGTCAGGGGAGGAAACGGCAAACACACAGGGTGTAAAGGACCCATTCGCTGACCAGCCTGGACTTGCCGACCTCAGGCAATGACTCGGTCAGGACAGGGAGGACAGGAGGGAGCAGAGTGGAAAACTGAGGCACACAGCAGCCATGGATCGGAACACAGTCCGTCCACAGGCTGATAGCTGCAGGCCTTCGATAAGCCTGCTAGGCGAATGATAGTCAGTCCAACAGTAGTTCAAACAATAGTTGCTGTTGTGACCGTGACTGGCAGAGAAACAAACACCGTCACAGCTGATGCCTGACATCCCTGCCCATCGTCCTTGTCGGTGGGTTGATCTGAGCAGTGGAAAGTGCTAGAAATGGGTACAATTAAAAGGGGCCCATGAGTCCTCCTCTGGTACCGACTGTCTGTCTCTCAGAAGAGCAGAGTCCTCAGAGCTAACGAAGAAGGTTGTTTCTCTTGCCTGGCTGTTCTGGGTAAGTCCCGTGCTTTTCTATGGAATCCAACGTTCCAGTGACGGCCCATTAGAAATTCCAGAAATACAAGTTCAGCCAGCCTGTTTTCATTGACAGATTGGTTGCCCCCATTCCACAGCCCTCCCATGAACATGGGCAAGTGCCTGGAGTTTGGAAGAAAAATGAATTATAAAGTTAAATATCTCACCTTAGCAGGATCCAATCCCACCAGATGTGGACATATGTGTGCGCTGCACAGCTTGGATACACATGTGCACTCCACAGCTTGGCAGCCACCCTGGACCACACTCCTCCAAGGAACCAATAAGAACAGATACTACACTTGATCTTAGCCAAAAGGCCGATGGCTCAGAGGTTAAGAGCACTGACTGCTCTTCCAGAGGTCCTGAGTTCAATTCCCAGCAACCACATGGTGGCTCATAACCATCTCTAATAAGATCTGGTGCCCTCTTCTGGCCTTCAGGCGTACATGCAGACAGGAGGCTGTATGCATAATAAATAAATAAATCTTTTTAAAAAAGAAAGAAAGAAACTGCTTCAGCACATCAGCAGGAGATTGTCACCTAACTCCAAACCAAGGTATCACTACTGCGTGCAGGGGCAGAAGAACTGAGCTACGGAATCAGCCTATGTGTCCACCGTAGACTAATGGATAAATAAACGGGGTGTACATGCACACAGTGGAGTTTTATTCAGCCATTAAGAACAAAATTATGTCCTTTATAGGAAAATGGGTGGAGCTGAAGTGAAATAAGACAGACTCAGGTAGACAGAAATTATACGCTTTCTCTCGTGAGCAGAATATGTCTCCTCCAAAAAGACATGAAAGTGGAACGGGTCCTATTTAAGGAGGAGGAGGAGACCAGAGGATATGGGAGAGAAGAGAAGGTAACTAAGGAAGTGAACGTGTTCAAAGTTTATTTTATATGTGTATGATGTTTATTGTAATGACATCTACTCATTTGTACAACTCATACACTAATGAAATGGTTAAGAAATAAAAATTAAAATAATTGCTATACAGTTTTTTTTTTAAAGTAATGATAATGTCATCAGCACAGTAGAAGAAAATTCTGTCTGCATCCTATACATCACTTAACCACTGCTCAGATCAATCCCCAGACAAGAATGATGGGCAGGGATGTCAGGCATCAGCTGTGGGGATGTTTGTTTCTCTGCCAGTCACGGTCACAACAGCGACTATTGTTTGAACTGTTATTAGACTAACAGGTCTCATAAATGCTCTGCTTTGTCTTAAACATAGGTAGGACCCCCCCCCCAAAGATCTGTAGGTAAAGAGCTTGATCCCCAGAATGACACTACTGTCGTGAAGCACTGATAATTAGCATGCCCCCTTCAAGGGCAGGAGGAAAGCCCAGCTCAGCCTTTGGGTGCATCTTCAAGTCCTAGCTGTGGCTGCTGTTTATCTTTTCTGAATGAGAGGGTACCGTACCAGGAGGAATCTGCCCTAAACTTAAGAGCACAAGCTCAAGACATGGCAGTTAGCATCCAGACTTTAAGCAGCCCTTCCCTGTATTCTCTCAAGCTGCTACGACTCATAATAGCTTTTCTTCTGAGTCTTCAAATGGTATGGTTTTTCTCAGCCTCTTAAAGTAATTTCAGGTTCTTAAATTCTTAAAGAATTCGGGTTCATACCACACCCCAAATAAACATACATGTTAAAAACAATGTTTCCTAGATATGTTTTATGTCACTGAATATTTTTTTAAATTTTATTCATTTATATTTTATGTATGAGTCTCTGCCTATCTGCAAACCAGAAGAAGGCATCAGATCTCTTTATAGATGCTTGTGAGCCACCATGGGGTTGATGGGAACTGAGCTCTGGTACCTGTAGAAGAGCAGCCAGTGCTCTTAACTGCTGAGCCATCCCTCCAGCCCATCACTGAATATTTTTATGACTTATAAAAGAAGTATTCAAGCCAGGTGGTGGTGGTGCACGCCTTTAATCCCAGCACTCAGGAGGCAGATCTCTGTGAGTTTGATGCCAGCCTGGTCTACAGAGTAAGATCCAGGACAGGCACCAAAGCTACACAGAGAAATTCTGTCTTGAAAAACCAAAAAGAAGGAGGAGGAGGAGGAGGAGGAGGAGGAGGAGGAGGAAGAGGAGGGAGAGAATTCATGAGAAACATGTCCCAACCCAGTAGGACCCAATAAACATTGTTGAACAAAAAAAGCCAACAGGAATGTCTGATAACACAACCGTCAGCAGCCACACTGTTGAATAGATGCAGGTGGAGAAGGAGCTGCCATTCACCATACAGAACTTACCAAGAACAGAAATTCAGTTTAAAAAAAAAAAAACTATCTTGGTTCTAGAAGTTAGTCTAACAACAGTGAAGATTAGTATTGATTGTCAACTTCACAGGACCTAGAATCGCCTGAGGGACAAACCTCGGGCTTGTTTATGAGGAATTTTCTAGACTGGGTTAACGAGGTGGAAAGAGTCAATCTAAATGTGGTTGATACTATCCCATGGGCTGGGGTCCTGGATCCAATGAAAAGGATACAGTGAGATAAACACCAGCATCCATATCTCTCTCTCTCTCTCTCTCTCTCTCTCTCTCTCTCTCTCTCTCTCTCTCTCTCTCTTTCTGGTCTGTGAATGCCATGTGACATCTACTTCACATTCTTGTCACCATGACTTTCCTACCATGGGCGGCAACCTTGAACCTATGAGTCCAAAGGAAACCTTCCTGCTTAAGTTACTTTCTCGGGCTATTTGTCACAGCAGTGAGAACACTGATGAACACGGGGACTATAAAGGGCCTGTTGTGGATTCTAAGAACTTCTGGCCAGTCTGGCCTTGCTAATTGTTAAAATTCTTGCTGGCAGAGCTGACTCAGGATTCTGGGAATGGGTGGAGCTTTGGGAAACCCAACCACAAAGACTTGAAACTGACAGCCATTAACATAGACCTCACAGCACAGAAGGGCCCCTAGAAGCATACCAGGCCTCTCTCACTGAGAAGAGCACCAGGTGGGTTCTCGGGGATCCTCTGCGGACCTGTAAGGTCACCCAAGGATGAGGTCCCACTGTCTGGTGAGCATCCAGGCCTTGAGCTCCATAACTGAGACTCTTCCAAGCTTAGCCACACTTATGTTAAAGACTTCCAGAGTCAAAGACTGCAGGCCACCCAAATGTGTCACTCGTCACCCCCTCAAACAATGCAGGGTCCTCTGAGGAAAGAGCCTTGGCATCCAGGAGCAGGACTGTGAGGATGTTGTGACTAAGGCAAAGCCAGAATGCACCGGCAGACACCATCGATGCCCATAACAACATGGTTTCCCAATGGCAGTGTGAAGTCCACTGATAATTATGGCACCTCTGAGAAAATGGGGAAATATAGTCAGATCTCTGACCCAAATCCCTTCCTGGTTTCATTAAAATGGTCATTCTTCTTATGGTGCCCTTAATTTACTGGCATGCATTCCTATGAAAACTGCAATAACACTGACATTGAACGTAAGTGTGGTCAAGCTTGGAAGAGTCTCAGTTACGGAGCTCAAGGCCTGGATGCTCACCAGACAATGGGGCCTCATCCTTGGATGACCTTACAGGTCCACAGAGGACCCCAGAGAACCCACCTGGTGCTTTTCTCAGTGAGAGAGGGCTGGTATGCTCCAAAGCATTGAATCCTGAGCCCCTGGTGCAATAGTTACTAAAGAAGTAGAAACCAAGAATTGCTGAAGCTTAGACATTAAAACAATTAAAACAAACAGAAAATAAAAATAGAACTGAACAACACACATACACACACACAGAGTCTATAAATGACCAGGCTGACTGACCTACATATTTGTGTGGAATGAGCAGTGAGATTCTGTTTAGAAAAGAGCTGTCACTGCCCTTGGAGAGGACCTGTGTCCAGCTGCCAGCACCCACACTAGGCTGTAACTTCAGTTCCCGGTTCTCTGATACCCTCCGGCTCCTACACACACACACACACACACACACACACACACACACACACACACACACACACACACACACGGTGCACATAAACTCATGCAGGCACACAAACATCCACAAGCAAAACTAGGAAAAAGTCATCAGAAGGTTAGCTATACACACCACCGTGTGTTACAGCGATGCAGAATAAACCAGCAGAATAAATGAACCAATGGAATAAAAAGCCCTGGAAACAGCCAGGTATGGTGATATACACCTTTAATCCTAGCTTTCGGGGGGGGGGGGGGGGGGCCCGGCGGGGATAGCAGAGGCAGGTGGATCTCTGTGAGTTCAAGTGAGATCCAGGCTAGGCAAGGAATGCTACATAGTGAAACCCTATTTTTAAAAAACTGGAAACAAATGTTCATCAAACAAGGAAATGACTGGGTAAAGGAGTGTGTCTACACCACAGAATACTACAAAATCAGGTCAAAGAATTAATTAGAACACACAAGTTAATGTAGTGAAATTTCTAGAAATGACTATTCATTGAGCCAGGATACTAAAACTACACATGATGTTCTTCCCCAAAGGACCCCAGAAAAGTTACCTGTAAAAGGACTCAATAACTACACATATGTGCACATCCATGGACATCAGTATCTCTCTCTAAACTCCCTTCTCCGGGGCCAGTAGTAAAGTTCAGACCATGAGACTGGAGTGCTGAGGGATACTCACTGTGTGCGTCTATCTATGCCCACGTACTTATGTCTGCAACCTAGCAGCATGGGGACAGACAATTAACCTTCTGGAGAACCCTGGGGACAGACAGTCCACCTTCCGGAGAACCCTGGGGACAGACAGTCCACCTTCCGGAGAACCCTGGGGACAGACAGTCCACCTTCCGGAGAACCCTGGGGATAGACAGTCCACCTTCCAGAGAACCCTGGGGACAGACAGTCCACCTTCTGGAGAACCCTGGGGACAGACAAGCTGGCTCAGCAAGTGACAGCTTTTGTCACACAAGCCCGACTACCTGAGTTCAGTCCTCAAAGGTGGAGGGAGAGAACCAACTCCTGAAAGATGTTCTCTGATACATACACACGCACTATGGCACACACACACACCAACACTTGCACACACACACATAAACACACACTCTCTCTCTCTCTCTCTCTCTCTCACACACACACACACACACACACACACACACACACACACCTTGTCTTTGTGTACATGTACATGATAATAATGAATAATTAAAAATTTTGGGGTCAGCTCATCCGGCAAATCTCTCGATGTAACTTTAAAAGGAAAAAATTGAAGAGGCAAACGGTCTGAAGCTGGTGTCGCTCGGTTTCACCTGGTGGTTTTGCTCCCGTCCCTCTCGCTGTCCTCATAATCATCTTTGGAGAGGTGTTTGAGAGAAATGGCGTTTCTGTGGGTG